TATCTACCAAAAAACTTTGACTTTCATTTATTTGCAGGCGACATTAATATAAATTTACTTAAGAACGATGCAATAACCAATACGTATTTAAATATAATGGGACAATGGGGTTATAAATCAACAATAAATAAACCTACGCGTGAACTATCTTGTCTAGACCATATTTTTTTACTAGATACCACTAAAACAAACAATACTTATATTCCAGTAGTAATGCAAAATTCAACAACGGATCATTACCCAACTCTTTTGCAGATTAATCTATCAAAAAATGAAAATAAACAAGCATGCAATTACGAAACAAAAACCTATCTAAACTATAAAAAATTAATAGACAGTATTTCGAAGGAAACCTGGCAGATAGTCTTTAACGAAAATAATATTCATGAATGTGTAAAAAATTTTGAAAATATTATTATAAAACATATAGAAAATGCTAAATCTATTAAAAAAGTTAAAAGTAAAGAAAAAAAAGGACTCCTTGGATTACACATGCTTTAGTTATATCTAGCATACAAAAAGAATATCTTTACAAAAAATCTATAAAAGATCCAACTTTTGAAAATATAAATAATTATAAACAATACCGTAATAGATTTAAAGAACTGATTCAGCAAACAAAACAAAATTACTATCAAAAGATTATTAATGAAAATCAAAATGATAACAAAAATTTATGGAAAGTTGTTAATGCAATAACCTGCAATAGTAACAAATCTGATGATATATCAAAAATAAATGATAGTGATGATAATGTAATTGATAATGTAAAAAAAATATCTAATGAATTTTGCGACTTTTTCTCGGACGTAGGAAAAAATTTAGCTAACAAAATTCATCCAAAAAATAAACCCTTTCCTAAAAAACTTATAAGTAATTCTTTTTTTCTGGCAGATACCGATGAGAATGAAATCATTAAAACCATTAAAACTTTAAAAAACAATAAATCAGCCGGCCCGGATGGAATAAGAGCTGAAGTCCTTAAGATGATTGCGGACAAAATATCACAACCTCTGAAATGTATTATAAATAAATCATTTAATGATGAAATATTTCCAAATTCGTTTAAGTTTGCGCATGTAAAACCCATTTATAAAAAAGGCGATAAACTTTCTTTAACCAACTATAGACCTATCTCCTTAATTTCAAATTTTGCTAAAATATATGAAAAAATATTGAAAAATAGAATCGATAATTACCTAAATACAAATAACATTATTTCTAAACAACAATTTGGATTTAAAGAAGGCGTATCAACACAAAATGCTATAACTACTTTAACTAAAAAAATATCGGAATCGGTAGACAGCGGAAATGCATCGTTGTGTGTCTTCATCGACCTAGCGAAGGCATTCGACACGGTCAGCCATGAAAAATTGTTAGCTAATTTAGAAAATATAGGATTTAGAGGAAAATCAATTAATCTCTTGCGTTCCTATCTGTACCAAAGAAAGCAATCTGTTGTAATGAACGGAGCTGTCAGCAAAGTGAGAACCATAGAGTATGGAGTGCCACAAGGCACAGTGCTTGGACCTATACTCTTTAATATATATTTAAATAATTTATTTGAAGTTCCTACTAATGGACACATAATTAGCTTTGCTGACGACACAGTTATCTTTTATGAAGCACCAACCTGGCGTATACTACAAAATAAAGTGGAAGAGGACTTGCCCTTAATATTTAGCTGGTTTCAAGAAAAATTATTAACTGTAAATTTTGAAAAAACTTTCTTCGTCCCATTTTCTTCTGATTCTTACAGTCTTCCTAGTTTTAAACAAATAATTATTAAAATGGATAATAACAGTACAATAAAGATATCATACACATCTCACATAAAGTATCTGGGAGTATATATAGACCAAAACATTAAGTGGGACGTACATATAAATTACGTTACCAAAAAACTCAGAATGTTACTTTATAAATTTAGATACCTGTCTCGAATTCTTTCTGTTAAGCAGATGATGATATTATATTACTCACTAATTGAATCACATCTCAGATTTGGAATTGTTGCTTGGGGTGGAGCACTAAAAGCACATATGCATAGTCTAGAAATAACACAAAAGACTTTAATAAAAATTATTTATAAAAAACATTTTACCTACTCTACTGAAGAACTATTTGCAGAAACTCAGATATATGACATCCGTCAGCTGTTCTGTGAATGTCTATTACTCAGACAATTCCAAAATAAAGCTGAACTAAAACAAATTGAACATAAGTATAATACTCGATTAAAAATAAATCAAACGTACCTACCTAAGGTGAAAAAATCAAATACTCAACGCAGTTTCTGGTATATCGGCCCAAAAATCTATAACAGATTACCTGGTGAAATAAAAAACGTGAACTCGAAATACTTGTTCAAAAAATTAGTTAGAAATTGGATTTATTCACAGTCAAGGAATGATATACACCAAATGATTGAAAACTATTACTTATATCCCTAGCTTCCTGCTTAACCTGTAACATAAACAAAAATATTTCTATTTCTTTTTAGGAATAAGTATATTATGTATATATATATATATATATATATATATATATATATATATATTTTTTTTTTGTTAATGTGCTATTGTTTGTATCTACAACTTCCAGTTCAACCCGTAACATTTTTTTTTCCTTTTTAGTATATAAGAAATAAATGTATTTTATTATTTAATAATGCATGCAATCAAAATAAACAACTAATCAGCCAGCCAAAAATAGAGTCTTACCTTTCACGTACAGGGCTTTCCTTGTGGAGTGTAAGATATCTAAGGAGGCGTTAATATTCTATAAAAAAAATATCCATGCCACATACAAGTTCGCTTATGTGGTCGTCACATGTTTATTGACACACTGTATTTTGAAACTGTTTTTTTTTTTTTTTTTTTTTTTATTGTAAATTTATTGATGTAAATAAACATTATATTATTATTATTATTAGTTAAATTGAGCATGTTAAATTAGTTTTGTGACAAATTTTATAATATAAATTTAAACAATTTGACAGGATGTCCAAGACTTTGGTGTTATGAAGTTAGAGTGACATTTGATTTTTTAAAAAAGAAGAATTTGACATTAGATTGAGGTTAAGGAAATTTATAATAAATATGAATTTTTTTAAAAAAGGGGGCTATTATATATATTATTACAAGTAAAAAGTTGAAGGATTCACAAAGGATTTAGGAAACTTGTGAGGATGATGGGATTCATTGTAGTTGTTAATTGAAATTACTAGATCTTTATTCCGTACTAGAAGTGAGTAAAGTGAGTTGGTACTTTTAAAGGCTATGTTTATGTTGAATTTTCTGAATATTTTAGCTAGTTCATATGACACACGGCCTAAGAAAGGAATAGAACCAGAATAAACCTTCAATTTAGGATGCGCAGAAGACTGCTGTTTGAATATAGTAGGAGGTTGTCATATATTGTATTGGTTATGATTTGATTATGTATGCGCCAGGGATACAAATCCGAGTTGCGCAGTGTATAAACTGGAACATTGAGATCAAAAGTGCCGACGCAGAGTGAGCGAACTGATTCTTTAGCTATAAACTGTGACGAAAGTGTCAAGTGAATTTTTCCAAAAAAGTTAAGTTAATATTTAATGATACCCCTTAAGCTTAGGCTTAAGGGTTTACACGAGCGGGACTCCGTCTACCCCTTTTGTTCTGGGGATAGGGGGAGTAGCGGTATTTCACCTTCCCCAAAAGTAACACTTTCCACATGGTGCCTTAAGCACACATGTGGAACTTTAAAATTGATCTCTTTCGAAACCACCTTCATCAGATGGAGGCAGGCGAAATTCAAAATTGAACAGGATCCAACCTCGAATGAGGGAGGCAGTGTGTGCCATTTTTTACAATTTTTACAATTTACTTAAATTTTTAATTCAACATTATTTTTCTGTGGACACAGTGGTAAGACACCTAGCATTTTTATAAAAAAACGTTTTGTTATACCTTAAATTATTATTGCAGATTGTACCTACTCACAAAAATTTTTTTGCCTGATAATGACCTTTTAGGTCGAAAGCGCTTGCAGCCTAATACATTTATGTGGTCGACAGACTTTGAGCATTTTACTTCCCTTTAATTAAATAATTAATTAAGTCCTTAATTCTGATTAATTTCCGCAATCCATAGCTGTGAGTTGTCACATCTAACATTGAAATGATGGAATGGTGTTGCATCGATTGCATCAACATTGGATAAAAAGGCAGCGCCGTTTGTTTATCACTGATAGATTGATGAAAAAAAAAACAAGTAGGTACCGTACCGATGTCATCGTTGCTGCAAGAGTTGGATAAAAAGACACACGTGTACAGATTTAGAGCAATTTGACAGTCTCTATAATTCGTCTTTTACCAAAAAAATTTGGCACTCTGCATACAAAACCATTTATGCCAAAAACTTGGCATTTTTAAAGAAATTAATTTGTCTCAATTTCTACTTTCCTATTTGTACACAAGAATAAGAATTTATTTTACATTAAAATATGCATATTTTTAATCATACATTTCATCATAGTATCTCCCAGTATAAACACTATAGCTAAAGCATTTTGACTTGTAATTTTTTAAGGTAAAAAAATGTCGCCGAAAGATGAGTAGCTGGTAATGAACAAGCTGTGGTAAAGTGGTATATAAAAGTAAGATGGTACTCTGAAAGTTAACCCCCAAAAACGCTGAAAAGAACTTTAGCTCAGATATCACCTTACTAAAAATTATAATATAAATAATGTGATGATAAACTGGAATGTAAAAAAGATGGAGAAACGATAAATGAAAATGATCAAAAACTACTTTAAATTAAATCGTTGAAGTTCAATGTTTAAGTTTCTTTAAAAAATAATTTCACATTATTTAAATAATTGAGCAATTCAAAATCTTTTTGAAATATCCTTAAAGAATAATCAGAAACTTTCACACAAAACCAATCTATTATTTTTGAAATATCAAGAAACGCAGATTCTACAAACTACAAAACAATCTGTTAGACCCTAACCTGGTTACCAACGTTAACGTTAGTTCCATCGACCGGTGTTCCGCCCGTTACTTCTTGCTTTACGTTAGCGTTAACGATGTTACTGTCTCCCTTAAATTCATGTTGTTGCTCCGCAACAACCGATTCCTTTTTCTCGATATTGTCGGACCTAGAGTTAATCTGCTTTAACTTGTTATTCAATTCTATAAGCGGATCTTCGGGAACAGCGGTGGCGAACGTGGAATTTTCTGGTTCTATTATTGGCGAGAGAATGTCTGAAGTTGTTGTTCCGCTGCTAGGACCGCTAGTCGAATCTAATTGTAGCTAAAATAGTGTTTTTGTTGTTGTTGTTTTCGTAGATTTAGTTTAGTGTGATACTCTTAATCTGGCGATTTTTATTAACAATTCGATTTGATATTCATTGTTATTGAGGCTTATTTTTATTAAAATCGTAAAATATATCTTGAATTATACAAAATATGAACATCTATTAGAAGACAATAAGGTAAAAATTCCTCGTCCATTGTATCCTATTTGTGTAAGACGTGAACGTTTAGTAGTCTATAAACTGACCAGTTTAATGACCAGAATCAAAGAACTTAAAATTTAGAAAATATGTGTAATAATTGACATTATTATTAGTAAAATATAAATTACACAAAAATTTAAAAAAGTATATTTTAATGTTTTAACTAAATATTCAAAAAACAAAGCACGTATTTGAATAAACCAACCAAACAATTATTAGGTTATTACTATGGTCACTGGCTTACACTGAACTAGAGAATTATCTAAGGTAGTACGTTGACACCTAACTTTGGGTTTAAATCACTGATCTGTATTATTTTACTGGATAGGATATAGACTATATTTAACATACTAAAAATCCGTTCCACCAAGGAGACCGGAAGTGCAACACTGCTGGCCGATTTGGGCAAATTATGGTGGGATCACATAACTGAATTTTGGGATAATTTGACATACCTAACCTATAATTTGATTAGTTTTTCTTCTTGTTCTTCTTCTATTCCTTTTGCGGGCAATGTCCTTTGGGACAATTCACCCATAATTTGATTTTTTTATGAAAGAAAATATAAAAATGGAAACGTGAAGCATATTGTGTCTTCACGAATGAACGTTTATTGTTTATATCTTAGTAATGCTATTCGATACTACCTAAATAAATAAAAAAAACATCTCATCGTTACTTGTTGACACAATTAAATGACAAATGTTATGACAAATGTAAATAGAGGTTATGTTAAATAACATCCGGTCCGCCATATTTTTTGCCCAAATCGGCCAATTTTTCGGAACGTTTGTTAGGGGGCTATATCCTATCCAGTAAAATAGTACAGATCAGTGGTTTAAATAGACTGTCGATAGTTGACATAGACTAGACTGGAGTAAAGGGAGACTCGAGTAAGGGCTGTGGCCTGAAACTCTGACCATTAGGCCAGTCCAGTATTTACGGGGTCTTTGGGACCCTAAAAATCTGAATATATAGGAGGTTATTCAGTAAATACTTGACCCAACACAGAAATAGCGCGAATTCGGACGAATCTTCTTTACAATCATGTAGAATCATCTTTTAATAGGTTAAATACGCCAAAGTGAACGTCTCGCGTGATTTTGTAAACTGAGTTGAGAGCAGTGATGAAGTACTTTCATTTGGAGCCCTATTCTTGACGGCGATAGAATAGAATGATCCCTGCGGAGAGTTCCTCAATTTTATTCTCACTGTTTTATCGTTTGCTTTGTTGCCAAACTCCTTAACCAATTAAAACAAAGACTATTTTGACAGACTTCAAAGGTACAAAATGTACATAAAGCTTAAAATATTTTTTTTAAGTCTGTTTCGCTTATTTCTTAACGACTAGCGGTACGAATGTGCCTTTGTCTTTCAAATCTGACATTTCTTTTTTTTTTTTAATAAGAGAATAATTGATAATGCGAAGAAACCCAAAAGTATGTAGGTAAGTAACCCAATAATGTTCCAACAAAAAGAAATGTTGGTGTGTTAAGTGCCACAGTTGCTCATATCGAAAAAAAAAACTATCGTTTTTATGTCTTTTCATCTGTATTTGTAACGTGTGGAGGGTGGGTTACCCTAACGGCACTTAGACCTCACTAGGTTTATTGTGCATCCTCCTAAGATGAGAGGCACCTCCTAGCTCGTGAGTCAGCCTACAAATTTAATGTAGTTGACAACTTCGCCAAGAGGTACTTCTCTTATATCGGCCGGTGTTAGCCGATACTCGCCGAACACAAATCTCCTGATAAATAAAAGCGTCCACCAATAGTAGAGGATATCCTCGATGGTCTCGTCTTCTTGTTCGCACCCTCTGCAGAGTGCGGATTCTGACAGCCCCATGATGTGGAGATGCTTCCGTACTTGGCAATGATCAGTCAGAATGTATGTGACTAGGAGCAGATTCTGTCTAGTCATAGTCAAGTATTTGTTTGCTGCAGTATTGTCAGGATAACTTAAAAGCCCCCTGGCAACTTGCAGTTTCTTGTTTCATCTTTCCGTGAATTTCAGAAGGGAATGTTCTTTAATTAGGTCTGTCACTACCGATTTTGTCAGGCCAATAGAAGGACCAGGTTCAAAAAGTATTGGGTTGGCTGCTTTCTTGACAAGTGAATCAGCAAGACGGTTACCTTTCGATGTGGCGTGACTTTTGATCCATCTAAAGGTGACCACGTTGTTGATGGAAACTTCGGCCAAAACTTCGTGACATTCTAGTACTAACCCCGAATAAATTCGTGGTATGTTCAGGGTGAGTCTGCTATCTGTATAGATGAGCATGTTCCTTCCAGTGATATTGTTTCTGGTGATTTCTTTTGCTGCTATGAGAATCCCCGTGAGCTCTGTTTGAACTACAATGGCACTATTAGTCACAGCCCAATTTATGCTAAGGTTTAAGGATCTGGATAAGGCTCGATAAGATGGAGTCCATGTTCGCTTGAAGCAGTGGGAGCGTAACGAGCGCCTCCTGCCAAAAGCCACGTCTCGCCTGACCAGATCCTCCATCAGGTTCTATTCCAACCGTGCGGAGACGTGTCATTGTCATCAGAGCAACCTCCTTGATGTAAATATTAAGAATGACTTCCATGGCCCTCGTCCGTGTTGTTTTCATGGCTCTTGTTATGTTGAGACATGCTGTTCTTTGAATTTGTTCTAGTTTACGGATAGATGTTAATATGTTTATTATTTAATGTACTTTGAAGATTTGTTTTAAATAACCAGATTTTTATTATTGTTTTATTCAATAAGTACATCAGTTATTTTTTAAAACAATTTTGATTGAATGTTAAGGAAAATAGAGAAATTCAGAAACAACATAAATAAAAGAAGACTGGTAAGATTTCATGCATGATTCATCTCGAAAAATGTAATTGATGAAAAAAGATGAATATATATAATATAAAAATATTTTCAAGAAATTATTTTGCACCGTGCCATTTCTAGATTTGCAGAACAAATTCAGCTTGGAATTTAAAATGACATTTTAAACAATTTTAACACTTTTGCTGCCCATGACGTTCATTAACGTTATATTAGTTCTTTCCTCCATGCCCATGACGTTTTGTAACGTCATTTGAAGATGTATGCTTCGATGAATGTAGACAAGCCGCTATTCAGTGTCCTTATAACCCCGTAGGCATGTGAAAACGTTCTTAAATTAGTGCATTATGAATTTGGTTTTGATATTATGTTTGTGAATATAACATAGTAAGGCTTTAACAGGTTCTAATTAAATGATGTACCTAATTGCTCGATATTTCAATTTGTGGCATAGACATACAAACAAGTCTTTAATAAAAGTTATATGGATTTGAAAAACACATAATATAAAAATACTTTTAAATATACAGAGTGTTGCGCTTTTGCTTGGAAAGTAAAAATATATATTTGTTAAATGGAACACTGTATTTTATCTCAGTTTTAGTATTTTTAGGGAATACTGTATTAAACCCTAGAATGTTTTTAAAAAGTATTACAGGTTTGCCAAGCATTTATTTTTTTGTGAGATAAAATGATATCAATGAGTTGAACATTATTTAAAATACAGGCTTATAAGATACCAAACTAACGAATAGACATGATAGAACTAGTTCATTTTATACAGAGAGTCTTGAAACATATAAATATAGCTCATTTTAACTTCATTTTACCCAATTTGAATGCAACACCTTGTATATCATTTTAGTATTAAATTTATTATAAATTTACCTATCTAACGATAACATCATGTTAGCCTATTATACATATACAGGGTGTCTCATCAGTGCGTAATTGATGGATAGCTGTTTTATTATTAAAGATACGAAGACATTATTAAGTTGTACGACCATATTTTAAACTTATTCCTAAGTATACAGGAAAGTTCATAAATAAGTGGTGGAAAAATTGTTTTAAAATTAAACCCCCTTGTATAATAAATTTATTTGTAATCACATTGTCAAACAATTTTAATAGACTTAACGTTTCTAAAAATGTTTTGACTTTCCATTAATTTGCTACGTTGTATGTAGGGTGTGTTAAAACGCAAGATTACAATTTTCTTATTTTTTTATCAAATGAAATGCCCTGTATGTTACACCACAAATTGACCCCGCACTAATCTTATGGGAATTGGGTCCCGGTCAAATTGGCTTAATTTTGGATATGTTGTTCGTTTCGGCATCCTGAGCAAAAGTCTCCATGGGCACAAAGCTCAATTTTGCTTATTTTGGCCGCTACGAAGCTTCAAAGCTGCCCAAAATGACCATTATTTCCCCTGAAAATGGTGATCTCCCGAAAGTTTAGTATTTGCTGTGTTGAGAAAAAGGGACACTCTTGGAGTTCCGTGGAGGCGAAATTAAAATCCAATGTCAATATGACAATATTGACAGTTGACCGCTGTCATCTAGCTGTCAAACAACAACCAATAATAAAAATTGATAAAAATCCACATGTGAATACATGTTTTCGAGGTTGCTGAGTTCAAATCCAATGTTAATATGATAATATTGAGAGTTGACAGCTGTCACCAAGCTGTCAACTAGCTGTCAAACAACAACCAATAATCAACATTGATAAAATCCACATGTGATTATATGTTTTCGAGGTTGCTGAGTTCAAATCCAATGTCAATATAATAATATTGACAGTTGACAGCTGTCATCAAGCTGTCAAACAACAACCAATAACCAAAATTAATAAAATCCACATGTGAATATATGTTTTCGAGGTTGCTGAGTTCAATCCAACGTTAATATGTTAATATTGACAGTTGAAAGCTGTCATCAAGCTGTCAACTAGCTGTCAAACAACAACC